CCCCATCAAATATCAGGGTTACATTGGAATTAGCCTTTTAGACTTTTCAACCAAGGCCAGGGTGAAGACGTGATTTCTGTATGACTACTTGCCCCTCTAACCTAATAGGACCAATAATTCCCACATACCCTTCAGATTCTCCAAGTGTTAAAATGCTGCCATATTTGCTTCGTCCTCTCCTCCCTCTCCCTCATTATATCATTCATTGTTGTACTTAATCTACACTATTCCTTTCCCTCTTCATTCTTTAATTTGCAGTTCTTTTTCAAATTCTAGAGGTGGATACTTAGTACCTAATTGTCTTCCATTATTTTCTCTAATAGATGCATTTTAAGGCTATCCATTTGTCCTTAATTACAGCTTTAGCTGCACCCCACAAGTCTCAATATGTCCAAGTGTTCGTTATTGTTCAGTTTAAAATATTTTCTAGCTTCCTCTGTGACTTTCTCTTTGACTCGTGGGTTGTGTGGAAGCCCACCACCTGATTTCCAAACACTGGAGGGTTTTCTCGTTCCCTTTCCTTCCAGAATTCTGTCTGGAAGAATTCTCTCTAGTGTCTCTAAATTCATACGCTGCGACCTGCGTGGCGGGTTTCAGGATGACCTGCAGGAGGGCCGACACACAATGAAGAGACTACATGAGAAATACGAATTTTTAAGGCACGGGAGGCCAGATGGAGCCTCTTGCAAGAAAAGGAGCCCACAAGTCCAGGTCCTGCCTGCTTTTATTCAGTTTGGTTACACACTTGCTCTTTAGCAACGCATGCAGGCGGAACAGATAGAATGGAAGGCCAGCAAAGCTCAGTGAAGTTTACTAAACAATGTCAAGACAATCAGGTCAGGAAATCGCCCCGGGCCATCGCCCTCGCCATCGCCATTGCTGTCGCCAGAGCAGCAGGGGCGACCTATGCCAGTGTCAGCCCTGCTTTCATGCTAACGCTGCTGTGGTGGCCCCACATTCATATCTGCTGGGGACCAGTTCTTTCTGTTCCCTGTGTGTCCCAAACACCCCATCTGTATTGCGTCTCCAATGTTGAAGAATCTAGGGCATTGGGGTGTAGAGACGGGAAGTTGAGGGCGGAGGAGCCCTAGGGGTGGCCTGTGGAGAGAGTTGCTGGTTGAGTGTGGGCTGCACAGAGGACGTGTCCGCAGTCACAGTGGGCGGCTGGCCAGGAGCCAGGAGGACCCTCCCCGGGAAAGGCTGTGGTCAGGACCCGGCTGCAGTAAAGAGGCGCATGTCTTGGGCTCAGGGTCTTGGGGTCCCAGAGCAGCAGGCCGGCTCTGCCTGGGCCTGGAGCTGCTGTCCTGCTGATGGCTGGACGGGGTGAGGAAGAGTGTGGTTGTGGCCCTGGCTGGCGTGGCTCAGTGGATAGAGCATCAGCCTGTGGACTGAAGGGTCCTGGGTTCGAGCCTGGTCAGGGCACCGGCCCAGATTGCAGGCTCCATCCCCAGTAGGCGGCCTGCAGGAGGCAGTCGATCAATGATTCTCTCTCATCATTGATGTCCTCCTGGGACCCTCAGGACCCTCGCCCCGCCCACCCTGCTCATCCTGGACTGTGGCCAGGTCCTGGGGCACTCAGGCTGGGGCTCAGGGTTTGAGCCAGAATCTGAGGAGAGGCGATGGGAACACGATGCAGAGGAAGAGCCACGCGCTGCACAGGGCCCTGCGCTCGGCCGCGTGTGATTGGTGGGCACTCAGGGCTGCCGTTCTCTGCCCAGGACCACTGCCTGTCCACGCTGGTGGAGGAGGTGCAGCGCCTCGCCAAGCTGAAGGGGGAGGTGCAGCGGAGGGACGAGGAGATCCTGGCCCTGCAGGGGGAGCGGGAGGCGCTGAAGAAGCAGCTGAAGTACCTCCTCAAGAGCAGAGGCCAGGAGCCATCCGTGTGCCAGGTGAGTGGGGCGGGGGGGCCGTCCGTGCGCCAGGTG